TACGAGGGACGGACCGTCTAGATATCTGAACGACCTTCTTATAAGACCCAATAATTTATTTGCCTGATTTACCTTCTTCTCACAATGGCCCGAGAACTTCAGCTCATTGTCAACATACACACCTAGGTCCTTCTCACACACAGTCTCAACTAGTGCAGTTTCTTCATCCCGTTGGGACATATGATATGCCTCCTTACCGTTGGTACGCCCCAGGTGCATCCTCTTACACTTCGTGACATTGAATCTCAGCAGCCATTTCTTCTACCATTCCTGGAGCCCACAGAGGTTATGTTCAATAATTGTTAAAATGACTAAAAAATGTTAATATTAAACTTTTAAAATTATTGAATAGTATAAACTTCTTGATATTTACTGAAATAGTAAGGAATTTAAGCCGTAAAACCGATTACTGTATTGGCGGACTAATACTACAGCTGGTGGACCGCCAAATGCAAGCGAAAACATGTTGAGGTCGGCTTGTAAAAAACTTGTCAATCGAGGGATTGCTCGTTAACCGAAGTTAAGAATCTTATGGAAGGTAAATCGTAAACCAAGGCGTTCGTTAACCAAGGGATCACTGTATTTGATGTACTTCATCACTCTTCCCCAGTACTGTACTGTATAGTATTTGTGAAACAGGTAGAATTGAGGTTATGTGTACCTGTATTAATGTTTAATTATTTTAAAGTTTATGTATTCAGACCAACAATTATACTGATGCTGTTCAGGTGTGATGGTGAACAGCCTGCACCCCGGTACTGTGTCAACAGAAATCTTTTTGAAGGAGGAGAGGACCCGCAGCTTGCCCATAAAAGTGATTTGTCACTTACTTAATATTATTGTCAAGGTTGCTGGCAAGGTAAGTACTATACAGTACTCACCCATGTCTTTAGACTGTAGTTATCTAATGTTGTTCACCATTAGAAGGATAAAAAAGAAAAAAGAAAATTACATATCTCTTGGTCACTACAGTGTTAAAATTACAATAAAGGGTAATAATTATATTCACACATGTATGAATTATACAGTATTTGTAATCACTGACCCCATAAAAATTATTCCATTTTAGGGAATGAGTCAAGATATTTCAGTACAGTAGTTAAGTTCCCCTGTGATGCCTCTATGTTATCCATAGTCAAAAGAAGTGTTATCAGTACAGTATACTGTATATAACATCTGTCTTAGTAACTCCATTATCTAGAATTTAATCAAATATAACCTACACTTTTTTGCAGGACAGTGAACTGGGGGCTCAGACCATCATCCACTTAGCTGTGTCAGAAAAAGTGGAGCAAGTGTCAGGCAAATACTTTGAAGACTGTAAGGTATAGCTGTCAAAAATTCAGTACTGTACTGTTATTGCCTGAACAACAAAGTTACATCTCAACATAACTGTCTCTTACAGATCTTGTGGTAAAATTATTTACAGTAGGAAATAATTCCTCTATCATAAGGCCTTTTAACTTCTGCAGTATAATAATTGTTAATTTTGGCTCTTTTAATATTACAATTGTACTTTTACCATTGGTTTTACAACTTATACATCAGCAGCCACAACAATAATACAATAATTGGATTACAGTGTAGTACTTCTTCCTGTAATACAGTACTATCAATAGAAATATATGTACTACTGTATTACAGTACAAGTAGTACTACTACCACCACTACCACTAATACTGTTGCTGTACCCTCTCCAGGAAGTGGGAAGCTCATGGTTGGCTCAGGACAAAGCAGTGGCCAAATCACTGTGGGAAATAAGCGAAGTAGATGTACAGCTTCGCCCCTCAGAAATGTACTATTAGAATCAGGCTGTATGAGATGTATTTGGTGAAGGGTGTATGGAGACTATATGCTGTGTGGAAGAATTTATTGATTTATTTATTTTATACTTTTAATGGGGAGCCCACCCGGGCACGGGTCAATGACCCACACCAGGGCCTGGAGGACAAAAATATAACAATAATAATAATAATAATAACTAACAAAATCTATTAAAAAAATAATATTAAAAATAAATAATAATAATAATAATAATAATAATAATAATAATAATAAAATACCCTGCATCATAAAAAAAAAAGATCAACAGTAAGAAACGATGTACTGTACTGTATGTATGTTGTGTTGTCAAAGTAGGAGAAACAATTGAGACCCTGCAATTGTGTGTAAATGAGGCAGAAAGTCAGATCAGCAACCTGGGACTTGGTCAATTTTTGTGATGCCATATGGCAGCAAGGTATACCATTAAACAACACATTATGTTTCCAATAACTTACCAGGCGGTAGTACCTCCGTTTGATAGCTGCCTACTACCTGTTAATTAAATAAATAGGTAAATATTTCATAATAAATTGTCTTTATGTCAAAGATAAATGCTAATGATTGCAAGAAATCTTATTTGCATAAATTTGTCAAACAGTAGAGAGGAAACAATAGTATGAGTAGAAGTAAACTGTAAGAAAGCTGGTTCAAATAGTTGTTGGATTTTATACTGAATAAGGAAAAATATGGAGACTTCCTGGATTTCTCAGGATCTGAAGAATTTTTGAAGAACAAGATGGGAGGCTGTCCCCTGCAGGCCACAGATGCTGCAAAACCTATAAGACAAGCACGAAATCTTAATTTACTTAAAAACTGTACTACAATATAAAGCAAAATGTCTCATAAAATGTTCTTGACATCTGTACATTCTAAACAGAATCCATGTACATGTATACAGTATTGTGTAAATATTTTTTTTTTAATTTAACACATTCTAAACTGATACTGCACTGTTAATTGTGTGACCTACCTCAGGAAGCAAAATGCTCACTGCAGGACAAACATGGACTCTGTATAGACCGAGTCAGGTCATGAGACTGTGATGGCCATGTAAAATTTAGACTGCCAGAAATCCCCAATGTTTAAAGAATGATAACCAACCGGCATGAGATATTACGAGGCCATGGAGTTCAAGAACCAGTCTCGTGATCTCGAGAGATGACTGGGGGTCCCAAAGGCTCCAGCTGTCTCTACCTAGTGCACCACTGATGGTGTCCAGCCATGGGACCACAGGTTCAATAGTGTCATTGTGGCTGACCATCACTTGCACACACTTTTGCAAACATAAGGTGAATATATACAGTACAGTATTAGTATTTAGCATATTTTTATGCCCCCCCCAATATGAATTAAGGTGCATAGTTCACTGATTACAACTAAGTACCTAGATAAAAAAAAATTCTTTAGCCGGTGTAATGTAATTTAAAATTTGCTTCACATTAATACAAAAGTAATTTGGTAATATCACCATTGGTTCTACTAACATTATCCTTGTAAATGAATTATAAAGACAGTACAGCACACAAGAGCTACCACAAGATCCATAATTATTAGTCTTTACATAGGTTGATATGAAAAAGGTACAGAATAAAATATCGTAACGTACCGTAGTGCTACTCCTACTCTTCGGTCACACAATTGTCATTTTTCTCAAAATGCCTTAAAAATAATGGTTAGGCCACAACTCATCCATTTTATCTAGTGTACCTTATTGTAAACTATCTTCCTTTGTTCTTAAATAATTAATCATCAGAAATAATGTCATCTTCTTTGTGATCATTTGATAGTCTCCCACAGGAAGTATGCAGTACAATGCTGGACCTTGAACAGTATACTGTATACAGTATAGATGTACTGAGGAAATAACTAGAGACAGGCTTCAGTAAGATGAATCATTATATAGTCCTCCTTTTCTGATAAGCATTTAAGTAGCTCCATTATGTACTTAATGAAACAGTTTTTACTGGTTGTGCAGCAGATTGAAGGTTCAGTAGATGCTGACAGTCAGATTTCCATTGAAATAATGTTCAAAATTATGCTGACTGTCAGGACATGCAAGTGCTAAGAATATGCATGATAGGCTACTGACTGTCAGAGAACACTGAATGGGCATTGTTTATTTCTGACTGTCAGGCCAGTCTGGATGAGGTAGAGGACTACTGTATTTACACTATACAAGTAACCAAGAATGTGATAAGGAGCTTAATTGAGAAGGATGTCTTGGTATGTTTATACCTGTACTTCCAGATTACTAAAGTACCGGTATGAAATTCTCCAGGATGACAAAATTATATTGTCCAGTGATTTTATTTGAGCTTAACACTGCCATATAATGTGCATTTTTTATGTATGTTCTAAAGAGTCTCTTAAATACAGTAGTAATGATGAGGTTTTACTTAACTAGGAAGTTACTTGAAGATGGCTGTGAAAACCACTAATGAAGGCTGATGCTTTAACAAGGAGTGGGAGCAACACTGACAGCTTGCTGGATTCATTAATAAGAACCTTGAACCCACCCTTTCTCTACCAGTTAAATAACTTCTTCCTTGGCACATTCCTGTCACTCTTTACACATGTCCTTCACTGCAAAACCCTACAATTTTCCATTAATCCAGATAATCAAGATAATAGAAAGGTCGAGGACTTAACTTTTACCAAAATATGTTCAACCTTTACAAAGAAATTTTTTTCACTGGCACACACACACAACTGAAAAAGTTATCCCATTAACTGTTCAACTGACCGGTGAGTTGGGTGTTAACTAATACAGAAACACTTGACTTCCTTAAACTTCTGTGCTGTATGATTATAATTGTGGCAGGGTGGAGAAACCGGTTTGTATTAAATCGACACTTTGGGATATGAGCAGTGTTTATGTTTGGCCTCACCCAGCAGATGGTAACTACTGGTACAGGTCTGATGACAGTGAGATAAAGGAGGAAAATGTGTGCAAGTTTCAAATAGTACATATACTATGTGTGTGTGTGTACATCTGTGTAGTTGTGAAAGATGATGCCTTTTTTTAGTCGACCCTTTGGCTATGTATATTATTTATAATTAAAAATTAATATGAATCAACCCGAGGACACTAAATCATTATCTGCTAGCTCTATAACCTTTTTGCAAACTTCACCAAAACGTCTCATAAAATGGTAAGAACTCAATAAAAAAAGCTCCAATTGAAACTCATTTTATTACAATGAACCCAATATTTGTGTAGCATGGCTAAAAGACTTTGAAAAGATTACAGTTGATTAGAAAAATAAATATACTGTATAATATAAACTTGGCAACACTCAACCTTCAGTTTTTGTCTGAGATCACTCAGGTTAATCCACGATCCTTGACTTTTTTAATTAAAAAGAAATAAAGGATTTACCTCTTTTTTTATCGGGAACATGCCAATATTTCTTTTTGCACATTCCATCTGCAGATACAAATACTGTATATAGTGTACAGTACTGTACTTAAAACATCATATAAGAGACCAGAGGTTTGAGAGTCACGGCAGGATCATGAGCCACAAGTTAATGTCTTAAGTTGTGTGCACTATGGTTTAGAGAATACAAGTGCCTCCATTATTCTATTCCTCCAGCTGTAGTACTATAGACACTGAAAACATTATTATATAAAATAAGGGGAGGCATGAATGGGAGCAGGTATACATGAACACCAAACTGAGACTGGAAGGTCAATATGAAAATTTTCAGAATAAATTTGTGTAAAGATGTAAATTACCAGCAAGTTCATCCTTGGCTGAGTTTTTATAAAACTGAAAGCAACATTGTGAATAGGATTTAAAATTTGAGAAGTTAGATATCTAGTAGTCACCTCATGGCGATTGATATGTTTTACACATTGCAACAAGTAAAATCTCTTGGCATATGTTAAAAGTATGTTTTCTGACTACCGAGGAAACAAAAACATACAATGCTAATAACACTTCTTAAAATTATTGCATCTCATTTCAAATATTTAACATCTCACAAAACAAACCCTGAAGATCCTATAATACATTACTGTACATATACTGTATTGCAAGAAAACTTGATACTGTATTGTACAATACTGTACTTCTTAAAAAGAGAGAGAGATTTTACAAAACATAAGAATGAGATCCAGTGCTACACATTCAATTTTGTAATCTGAACTGTCCCAATATGAAAGAAAACTTAGGTATCAAATGTCTAGTTTGTAATAAGGATAATATATAATACAAATACTGTAAAGCAGGGTAAAATGCCCATCAAAAGAATAAGGGCAAAAAATCATTAATATTGAAAAAGTTAAACAATCATAAGTATATTTAGTTAAACCATAAGATTTTAAAACATAGTGGTAATTATTGAATAATATCCAATTGACATTTAAACATACCCATATACTGTAAATACCCAATACCTGTACTGTATTGTATTACCAAGTATTTTACCATCAAAAAGTCTACTGAAAATTTACTTCAGAAATTTATGAGAGGCTCTCATAGCTAAATTACTGATGCTGAACTGAACAAAGATAATACAGTACAGTACATTAAAACCCATACTTTGCTTGTGTCTGCATTTTTGTCATACGATTTTGTGCCCAACTGTTTTTCAGTTCTAGCTCTCGTTCTTTAGCCTGGTGGGCAAGGTAAGTGATCTGGTGTTTCTGTTTTTGCTTTTGTGAAGGCAGTCCTTCTCTTTTCTTGCTGAAACTATGGCAGGGTTTCTCCTCAGTCAAGGCCTTGGTCATCCATTCATCACGTGTCAGCAGAGCATCATCAGCACTGACATCTATAAAGTTAATGGCTTCACCCTTGCCTCGCCGCTTACCAGCCAGCCGAAGCATTGCTTCATCATCAATAGCAGTCTGGCTTCCAGAAAACATCTCCACATCTTGTGGTGGATAATAAACTTCTTCCTGAGACTGTACTGATGGATAATGAGGGGTATTAGAATAGTCCTCAGAACATACAGTATGTTCTCGAGGTAAAGCCTTACATTCTCCAGACGTCTGTATCACTGGCGGTTTTCTAGTTATGGGATCTACCTCTGGTACACTAGCAACTGCTGCTGGAATTTTATTTGTTGCAACAGTTTCAGAAGCAGATTCAGATAGTGAAAAGAAATCAGAAGGTCCTGCATTACCTTCATCATCAGAATCATTTCCACCAACTGTAGTTGTATTTCTTGGCTGTGATTTAGGTTTGGGACGGCTTTGCACTGGTACAGATTTTTTAGTGAGAATGTGAGGTACAAGAGAACGTTTTGTTTCTTTGACAGATAAATGTTTGGGTTCTGGCAGTAAAGAGAAGAGACCTGTTCCTGTTGACGATGGTTTTAGTTTCTTGCGTTCAGGTTCCTGCTGCTCATCCTCATCCTCATCATCTGCAAACTAAAACAAAAAATAAATACATAATATTGTATAACTTCATCTGAGAGGGTGGTCTTTCTTCTACACAACATCCACCACTTGGAACTTTGTTGATAGACTACAGTACTGTAATTTTTATAAATTAGGCATAACAAACTCACCAAACCCAAACTAAAATTGCCTAATTCACAGATAATCTAGGTATATTATGCATGGTTAGGTGTTGGAAAATTGGATTAAACACACCTGTATATGGAATTTCCATATACAGCTTGATTTTATGAAACCAAACCCTTCCAAATATCAGGGATTACTGTATTTTATTTTAGAAGATTAAAATACATTACAAAATAATTGTATTATTTTAGGCTAGTTTAAGTTATGAAAATTAGGTTTCGTTCATTTAATTAACAATAAATTTTAGATTGTATCAGTATTAGGAACTTCAGTTATGTTAGCAGTTGATGGGAGTTTCCGAGATGCATCGTTGATAATTTTTTGTTCATAAAATGAACCAAACAAACCTACTAACCTAACATACCAAACCCAACTTAATCTAAAATACTAAAAATTCTTCAATTTTAATCTTCAAAAGTAAATAAATAAATCCTTTCTTAATGTTTGAACAAGAAACCAACTTGGTGGATACTTGGAAATTTGTGATTCTCGCCTGACAAACGTAAATATATTTCTTGTGCCAGGAGGTCCAAAGGGGTGGAGCCCCCCAGTTAGGAGGTTAGGTTAGGTAATTTTTAGGTCATTTGTGAGGCAAATGTCATAGAAAAGTGTCTTAGAATTGTCTAAACTATTGATCGCAAAGTTAAAATTTCTAAGATTACCAAGTTGTCTGAAAATTTACCGAACAAAGTTATTGAAGTACTATCTCCGTTAGCCAGAATCCCTCAAACCCGGAACTCTCCGTTAGCTGGAATCCCTCAAACTCGGAACACTCCAATAGCCGGAATCCCTCAAACCCGGAACTCTCCGATAGCCGGAATTGAAATTATCTCAGAAAATCATTCCCAAAGCCGGAATTTTCCAGAAAATTCCGGCTTTGGGAATGATTTTCTGAAGGGCACATTTTCCGGAAAATTCAGAGACAATTTCCCCGATACCCAGAAAATTCCGGGGATGAAGGATATTTTTCCGGATTCGAGAGAGTCATCTCGTTACCCGAAATCTTTCATTCCTGGAAGAGCTGTGCACCAATTGTTCCGGCCAACGGAGATATCACTATATATATTGTAGGGGTGTGCCCATTTCGGTTACCAACCCGTTTCGTCACTTCGTTCATTCCCATCACCATTTCAATGGCAATACATTCCAGAAAATTCTTACATAATTAATACTGTACTTCAATAATTACACAAAAATTTCACTAAATTTGCCAAAATAACTGTTGCGTGGGATAGAAAATAACCAAAACAACCCGTTTGCAAAATTGTATTACGAAATTATGCCTCAGCATAACAATACATTGGATCATGCAAGCACCTCACTCAAACAATTTATTAAAGACTAAAACGAAACAAAAATTAAAACATTGTTATTACTCATGCAAGCTTGGAAGACACTGAAATTTTTTTAGGAAATTAGAAGTGGTGATTTTTTTTCTTCATATTCATCCCACAGCTTCCAAAGACAGACGTGTTTGTCATGATTTGCTTTTCTTGTGCACGATTTTAGCTTTTGCTCAGCAAATAGTTGTACAGTAATTACAAATCAACCATTGAGGCTTCTCTGTGAAGGAGAGGGACAAGGAGGTATAGAGCGAAATTGTTCTTTGCTGCTGGAGGTTTATGCACCGGTGCCAAATCACCTTCATTTGTTCTGTATTTTGTTTATTTACCACTGTTTTAATTGTTTTCTTTATTAAATAATTAATATTCATGTATAATAATAACTTACTATTTGTCAGTCTAATACCAACGAATAATGGTCTGTTGGTGGTGACGAAACAGATTTGGTATTGGTGACGAAATGGGTTTTTTGGTGACGAACCGAGTTGGTGACGAAATGGGTGTGTCCATACTATATATATATATCACCATAAGGTATTATTTTACTTTAGGACATAGCACCCCCAAAAGTTATAAACTACTGAAACATTTAGTTCTTGCTATTTTGAACCCCATATATAAATGGCGGAAATGGACAATAGCGACACAATTGAATTTAATTGATTTTAAGTCGTTTTCAGTCTTCGTCTCTGTGAGATGATGTTATCGGCACATCACACATGCACAATGTTGACTGATGTCATCCAGTCGTGACCAATGAGGTATCGATATCATCACGTGAATTTTTCTCGACCAATCACATTTGATTTTTCTCAAAGGAAGCAGCCTGGGTATGATTTTTAATTTCATTGATCAGTGTCACGATAGCCGTGGTGAAGGTTGGTTGTCGTTTGTGCTCCTACGATTATTTTAAGTTTACTGCTGAATTTTACGAGAAAGATGATCATTCCATCCAATTCTTAAGTATCCCTGGTCCTTCCACTTCTAACTTAGGTATTATACTCTCGGACTTGGCGCGCCCCAAAGTTTTAACTACTGAAACATTATAGTTAGTTTAAGCAAGGCCTACTGGGGATCTAGGGCTAGGGGTTAGGTTAGGTTAGTTAGGTTAGATTTTGTTAGGTCAGATGACTCGTTTCCGTTTTCTCCCCCACCCAAAAACCCCAATTTCCCAGGGGACAAAAACGATCAATTTCCGTCAAAAATGAAGGTCAGATTCGTTTAAAACACACCAAAATACACTGGAGAAACATCTTGGTCAACCCCTCGGGACTCATGTCCTCAAGTAAAAATTTACCCACTACAATTTACCTCAGAGAGAGCAGGCACAAAAATTTGTACTTTTCTTTTCTCTTTTTTTATCTTTGAAGAAACTGAGGTGGAACTTGAAGATCTGTTCATCTCATTGCTGCTGCTGCTACTTTTAAGTTCCTGAATAACCTTCCAAGTGTCTACAGTTGGAACATCTGTCAACTCATCAGCTTCCTCGCCAATTTCAACTCCATCACCTATACTTGTAAGTGGCTTGGCTGCTGGTATGGATGCCAATAAACCTGTTTTTTTCACTTCAATATTATCATCCTCGTCGACTATACTATCAACCCCGCTGTCTAGTACTAAGTTAGGCTGGCCAGAGTTAGACTTGACCTGGGAGAATGGTGTTCCATTGACACCGTTATTTGTTACTTGTGGCTTAAGTTCTTTCTCTATTGAACTTTCCAAATGCTCTTCACCGTCTTCGGAGTCACTGCCTAAGTCACTATCGTCACTATAAGCAACAAGAGCCATTATAAAGAATATTTTCTAAATAAGAAATTGCTGGTGTGTTCTGCTATTGTTTACATTCCTCGCCTGTTCGGTTACTGACTTAGCTTTAGTTTCATTAATGATACATCATAAAAAATATAACATTTGACAACTATTTTATAACTATTAAAATCCATTGTGTATAAATAAAATTGTAGAAAAAATAATTTAATAGATGGTCACAATGAAAAATAAAATAAGATCATGTAGTCAAAACCAAGGAATCATATAGAATTTACTGTGTGATATTGTATGTGTGTGTCAGTATGTATGTGTAATAATAATAATAATAATAATAATAATAGTAAACGGTTTATTAATAGAGTTGCAGCCGGTGGCTGAAAATATACAGACTTACATTTGATTTAGACAATGATATAATGTGCATTGAATACATTTACAGGGCTGTACAGTACATAAATCAGGAGTTGTTTATTATTTTAACAATAGATGGGATGGTGCTGTTCTGATATCTATCGGTGTGGGCTCTTATGGGCTGAATTTTGTTGTAGTGGCGGACTGCGCGAGGTGGGTGGGGGGCTGCGGGTGGCAGGAGGTGGCGATGACGAGGGTGGTGCAGAAGTCCACTGCCAAACCTTTCCAGTGCTTGGTGGTGGAGGTCACTGAGGGATGGCATTTCCAGGGTGGAGAGAGCGTTGATGTAGCCTGAGTATTCTGCGCCGAGCATGATTCTCCAGGCCCTTTTCTGTTCCTTCTCTAGCTGACGTTGTTGGGTGGAGTTGACCAGGCTGGTGTGTGTGCATGCATGTTTACACATTAAGAACGTCAACTTTTGCTTTTACTTACTTTTATCCTCTTCGCCACTGATCCGCTCGTTAGCCGCTTGGGCGATCGGTCACGCCTCTGATTACTTTTCCTTTACATTTATCCTCTTCACCAAAAGATCGGCTCGCTAGCCGCCCGGGCGATCGGTCACGTCTCTGTCACGCACTGTTGGCAAATACTGGGCATGCACCGGCTCCTGAATGTACCTGAACCCGTTCCAGTGTTGGTCAAGTTGTAGTGGATTTCTCCCCTACAAACGCTGTTTGTCGCTGAGTAGCCGATCCCGCGAATTCCCCAGTGTATGACTCGTGATCTAGGTCAACCAGCGCCGCCGTACATCACGGAGGTCAACCACTAAACCACGCCTATCTCCGCTCTTTAAGACCTGACCTCGTGGTGACCACTCTCTTTCTACCTACACCAACCAGCCAGCAACACCTCCTCCTCCTCCGCCTGCCTGGCGGTCCTCGCTCCCGCCGGCGAGCATGGCGACCCACAAGCTGGTCCTCCTCTGAGCACCCTCACCAACCAGCTCTCTCTACTCAACGCTTGTAACCATGCTGCCTTCCCAGCACCAAGCTGCATTGTACATCCAATACAACATGTATACAGAGAGCACATTGTGAGTTTCCTTTCTCCATCCCATCCTGAGTGTGAACCAAACATCTCGTACCCCATACTGTGACCCCTTGTGGGGCGAGCGTCCGCCAGCTCCAAGTAAGGACACTCGACTGAGTAGTGCCCCCTGAGATGCTTATACACCTCAACTAGGTCACCCCTTGCCCTTCTGTAATATAAGCTAGGCAAGTTCAGGCGCTCCAATCTCTCAGGGTAGCTGAGGTGCCGAAGTGCAGGCACCAGTCTGGTGGCCCTCCTTTGAACATTTTCAACCAACTGACAGTCCCTAGCATATCTCGAGGACCAGACGAGGTGACAGTACTCCAGATGGGGAAGCACTTCACTCTTGAAGATCGTTACGAGGGACGGACCATCTAGATATCTGAACGACCTTCTTATAAGACCCAATAATTTATTTGCCTGGTTTACTTTCTCGCAATGGCCCGAGAACTTCAGCTCATTGTCAACATACACACCTAGGTCCTTCTCACATTCAGTCTCAACTAGTGAAGTTTCTTCATCCCGTTGGGACATATGATACGCCTCCTTACCGTTGGTACGCCCCAGGTGCATCCTCTTACACTTCGTGACATTGAATCTCAACAGCCATTCCTTCGACCATTCCTGGAGCCCACAGAGGTCCTTCTGCAGCTCTTCACTATCAGCTTGGTTCTTAATGTCCCGAAATAACAGCGTCATCGGCAAACATTTGTATAGAGGAGTGTACAACGCCAGGCATGTCATATTTGAAACAAACAAACAACAGCGGGCCCAATGTACTGCCCTGTGGTACCCCACTTGTGACAGGTACATTCAGGAGCCGGTGCATGCCCAGTATTTGCCAACAGTGCGTGACAGAGACGTGACCGATCGCCCGGGCGGCTAGCGAGCCGATCTTTTGGTGAAGAAGATAAATGAAAAGGAAAAGGAATCAGTGACGTGACCGATCGCCCAAGCGGCTAACAAGCCGATCAGTGGCGAAGAGGATAAAAGTTGAAAAGTAAAAGGTACGGATGACGATTTCATGCCATTAATCACCACACACTGCTTGCAGTCATGTAGAAAGTCTTCTATCCATGATAAGGACATTTCCCCGAATTCCGTACCCTTCCAGATTGATTTTCAGCCTTTCATGGGGTACACCATCGAAAGCCTTGGCAAAATCTAGGTAAATATTGTCGATATTACCACCCCGTTCCAGAATATGGGTCCAAATATCCAATACCTTGAGCAATTGTGTTAAGCAGGAGCGCCCCGGCATAAAACCGTGTTGGCAATCCTTTACGAGATTGTTTCGTATTAGATGTTCCATTGCGGCATCTCTGATAATACTCTCAAGTACTTTACATATTATGCTGGTCAGGCTCACCGGTCTATTATATAGTTGCTCGTGGAGTGACGATCGCCCTTCTTGAAGATAGGCAAAGACGTCAAGGTAATAATATTACCTTGACGTTCTTAATGTGTACACACATATACATACTGACACACACACATACAATATCACACAGTAAATTCTATATTATCAATGATATATAGTAATGTGAAAACATGAAACACAAGCTCACTCCGCTGGTTACCATGGATAATATATTGGATATGGTACTCCCACGCTCCCGGATATGGTACTCCCACGCTCCCGGATATGGTACTCCCACGCTCCTGGATATGGTACTCCCACGCTCCCGGATATGGTACTCCCACGCTCCCGGATATGGTACTCCCACGCTCCCAGGGCTTTTAGTTAGCCGCGTTGCCAACAGATAGCGGTAATCGGAGCTCAATGGCTCACTTTTTTTTATCGGTAAAGGTAGATACTTTCCTGTCTTTCTTATTATAGTCCTTTCTTGGCACAAATCTCCAAGTAAACAAACGAGTTAGGATGACAGTCTTAACAAACCTTTATCTTATCACCAACACAAGGACAGTCTTAACAAACCTTTATCTTATCACCAACACAAGGACAGTCTTAACAAACCTTTATCTTATCACCAACACAAGGACAGTTCTCAACTGTTCATAAGCTTTACTCTCTAAGGTTGTTTCAGGACGAAGTGTTGTGAATTATTATTTTTCATTCATCAAAATCATCAAAACAATAGTAAAAATAAAGAAAACCAACAAACAACTTTTAATTATAATAGTTTCATAAACATTTATCATATATAATTTTGGTCTATTGAGTGTTAGTACAGGAGGACTGGGACACCTGTGATGGCCACACTAGATAACACACCTTTTCACCTGAGGCTCCAACCCTTCACATATTGGTATTATTGGACATAACCTGATATTTGAAAGTTTAGTTTTTTAATTTTTTTGCATGTTTTTACCCCACATTTTTCGGTAAATTTGTAGTTTCATCCCCAATTACTGTTCGGCCATAATTTTTTGGTTATCCTGTGGTATATGGTCTGATTTATACGAATTTGACCTTCATTTTCATCTACCCTAGTTGAGGCTGAAACTGCAATAATACCCAATTTTCCTCTACTGTACATCAAAGCCCGGTAATTATTCAGGCCTAACCCGCGGCCGAAATTGATCAAAAACTATTATAAAAACAATGGAATTTCACCTTTTTTATAGTGGACAAACCAAACAAACCAACCTAATCTTACCTGGCATTCTTACTGAGCCCCCTGGACCCCCCCAGTAGGGTCCAACGAATTACCCAAATGTACCCAAACCTATACTAAATCAGGGTGAAATCTTAACGAATATCTGTTATACATACACAAAACATGTCTAATAATATTTTTAGTGTAATTTTGTAAAAATAATTTGTAAGATGAAATAATAAACAGCGAAAAACTTTCAGTATTGGCGAACTCTAAATTCCAAAGAGTTCGTCAACAAAGGAGATAACTCAGATCCATCGTCATGCACTTCGCTAACCTAACCTAACCTAACCTAACCTAACCTAACCTAACCTAATCTAATCTAACCTAACCTAACGAAAAGTAAATCCTATGCCTGTTTATTATTTCATTATTTTGACTACATTTCAATGAAAACATTATTAATCAGGTTTTATTGATGTAAAACATATATTCGTTAAGATTTTACCCTGATTTAATATACTTTTGGGTACTTTTGGGTACATTTGGGTACTTTTGGGTAATTCGTTGGACCGCCCCGGTATATTAAACAGAAAGAACTTACCATGATAGGGTGCAATTTGAGGCATTTTCTGGACGTGAGATGATGCGGTTGCATCGGTGCTTATACAGCCCAGGCGGCGGAATGATTTATTGTGATGGCGGGAAACGTTGAGCCACGGCATTAAGGAAGTGATGAACAAATTTCTTTCTGGTCTGAAAGCACAGGAATTCCTGTGGTCTTTGAACAATTGAAGGGTTCTCGTTGTCTTTATCCCTGAATTCTCAAATTACGTCCATATAAGACCGGCCACAACCTTCACACGTCATGCTGAAAATGAAACTGCCGCGAGCCCAGGGAAAAGCACAGCACCAGAGTGCGGCCTCATTACTGCCGGGAAGACAAATTAGTGCGCTTCTAGGCACCTAATTATCAACAAAACAAAAAATGGCACAAGAAATGATCATCATATCAGAACTCACTGATGAAAATAATGTAAGAAAATAGACAGTAATAAAAATAACTTCTGCGGGTTATTCATATGTTAACCCAAAGCCCTTCTCATTTTGTGTGATCAAATTACATTTCTTTAAATTAAACCGAAAAGTAAAAAAAAAAAAAAAAAACGAAAAATATGATTCCCCAACAAAAATGCTATACAGTCAGTCCCCGACTTACGACTGGGTTAGGGACCGACGACGAAGTCGTAAGCCTTATTGGTCGTAAATCGAAAATGCGAAACTCCCACTTTTACTCTTGCCAGCCATTTTAAAGGGAATTACAAATGAAAATTTTGTCATTACACAGCACGATCACTAACGTCGGGACTCGAAAATACGTAATTTGGAAAAATTTTTGTATGACTGCGGCGGTCGTATGTCCGGTTGGTCGTAAGTCAAGTGGGTCATAAGTCGAGGAGTACCTATATAGTAAAGTATTTTTTGTTTTTGTTTTTGCTGTCTCCCTACATACAAATTGTAATACCTGTAGTGGAGCTCAGTGGTCATTATGGTATATTTACCTTTTAATATTATTTAGTTTTTGCTCTCTGCCTATATAAGAATCAGTACAGTATATTGTTCTGTGAATGATCACTATGAAATATTGATCACTATCACCTACTACAGGTCCATATTCCCTCATCCGCAATTCCGAAAACTGAAAACCTCTGAAAACCGAATGACGCCGAACATGACCTGACGCTACTGGCGCTTGACCCACACCGGGTAGTCACACCTGCGTCTGCTGCTCTCTGATATTTTTTGTAGTTTTGTTTAATTTCACCTTGAAAATGTCAAAAGAGCTTCAAATACCCTTATGGATAACAGTGAGAAGAAAAGGAAGCATCTCTCATTATTGATAGCACAGAAAGTGGAGTTATTACAGAAGCTTGATCATGGTGTACCTGTGTGGCGTCTTACTAAAGAAAATAATGTGGGAACTACCACCGTATATGACTAAAAGAAACAGAAAGACAGGTGTTTGAAGATTTACACTGACAGTGATGACCATAAGCCAATGAAAAACTCTCACAATATTCATTGGCTGTCCTTATGTTTTAGACTTTACCACCATTGGCGAGTAGAATTTTTGTTTTGCATTCTTAAGTATTATTTAAAACATATATGAACAGTAATAAGTGTTGCTTCCATATTCTTATGTAGAGGAATGACGATATGTTTTCACATGTACGCAATTACATACGTTGACGTTCCCAATCCGTCTTGCTTTTTTCTTTACTATTAGTGGTTAGCTACTTCTATTGTTCCATTTATTAACATTAAATAACATATATATTAATTTTTTTTCATTAATTTTACTACATCTACAACCAGGGTCGTATTTTCTTCAGTTTCAGATTGATAACTGACATTATGGGTGTAAACACTGATAACAACAATGTTGTCTCGTCTCCTCTTGTGTGTTTTAATATTGTACGTAGTATTAATGAATTGTATTGTTCATCTAATATACTATAGGAATAACCGTGGCTCTGTCTGTCTGTCTGTTCTGGGCAGCCGAAACGGCACAATCGTTTTTCATCAAACTTGGTGGAAAAATTGCAAAAAATTCGTAGAGTGGAACAAACCTGGTCCCATGTCGATGGTTTCTTTAGGAAGGCATTAATTAACCATTTTATTTACGATGGAAAAGATGCACGTCTACGGACTTGGCGCACCCTCATTCGCTGTACGGTAGCCAAGCACGAGTGTTCAAACTTTCACTGGGCACGAAGGGCTCGCGATCACTTGTTTTGCCTATACTGTACAGTATAAAGATTAATTCAATCAAATACATATTCAGTAATAAACAACAATGAATCTTTTGTACATATTCTTTGTAAGATAAGTGACTCTGTTTCCTTGAGTGTTCATGTATACTATGGCGTTCCAAATCCATCTCGCTTTTTCTCTTTGCCATTAGTGTCTTTACTGTACTGTACAAATAACCTGTAATACTATTTATAGTCTTTTTATATGCCACTCAGTGTGAATATTCATAAAGCTCGTTGCAGAAATATTAATGCGTTTGCTTACGGGGTGCTGCCTCAGGCCCCGCTAGGGTGTTACCATAATATATGGTACAGTGAGTTCTGCTATCACGCGTGTTTTGACAACTCGAATTGGCTCTAATGCGATTTATGAATAGAAAAACGATATTTGTAAAACGCGAACTCTTGTTTGCTGTAACGCGATTTTTGCTTACTATTTCTCCAATTTTGTAGTATTAATTGTGAATATGGTAAAGAAGAATATCTCCAAGAAGCGTTCTGGTGATAGAATTCCCGGCGATGATCGTAAAAGAAAAGATATAACACTTGAAGAGAAGCTCGATGTTATCAACCTCAAAATCACCCTTCTCCCCCATCAAGTTACATTCATATTTTTTCAAGGTAAAGTGTTACATTTACTGTATGATTTCATTATTAGATATGAATGTAACATTTATTTAGACTGTGCTATCCTTTGTGTTAGGCTAACTACTAAATTTTTTCGATTTCGAGTAATTTGCACCTAACCCTATTTTCTTCATAAGCCCTGTTATTTCTATTACGCGATTTTCTACAACACGATATTTTACAAGAACACAATTATCGCGTTATAGCAGAACTACCTGTATATGTACCGTACTGCCGTTGTGAATTCCGAAAAATTCTGAATTCCAAAACACATCTGGCCCCAAGGGTTTAGGATAAGGGATTGTGGACCTGCACTACCTTGTTATCGGATATAAGATGAAACAACAAAAAACTTACATAATCTACTTATTGAAGGTGGATTTTGGCTCTATACATTTTATTAATTTTAGTCCTTAAACTAGCCAGCATACGACTGTCAGATGAAAATTAACTTAGAAAGCTACAAAAAAATTTAATAAATAATCTTAAATGTGCTTACCTGATTATTGGTAGTAGCAGTGTTTGTTAAATAAAATGTATCCAGTAGGTAAATGCGCATGACCTTGGTGGGTGATGTTGACCATATAAACAGTAATGTAAAGAAGACCCACAGCTATATAAGGTTACTGATACATTTTTCTTTGTTCTTTAATTTTTTTCATTATAAATATCCAATAAAAAAAACAAAAACGTTATGGTCGGGTTGACGAAGGGGAGCTACATGCTACCCCATTAAATTCCAATACAGTGATCCCTCGGTTAACGAGCGCTTCGGTTAACGAGATTTCGGTTAACGATTCACCTTCCATAAGATTCTTAACTTCGGTTAACGAGCAATCCCTCGATAACGAGTTTTTAACGAGCGCGCCTCCACATGTTTTCGCTTGCATTTGGCGGTCCACCAGCTGTAGTATTAGTCCGCCAATACGGTAATCGGTTTTAGGGCATAAATTCCTTACTATTTTAGTAAATATCAAGACATTTGTACTATTCAATAATTTTAAAAGTTTTATATTAATTTTTTTAGTAATTTTAACAATTATTGAACATAATTGAAGTACTGTATAGGAAGCTATTTTTTTGCGCGCCAAACAGCCTGTCAACACACCATACAGGCGTCAGTTTCTGTGTCTTTTCAGTGGAGGTAACATCTTGCTTCAGACTCTTCAACTAAACGCTTTTTTCTGTTTCCAAGCAAATTATTGGTCAATTTGAAATTTATTTTACATATTGACAATATATAATGCAGTGCAGTGTTGATTTAAAGAAAATAATCTTGAATTACACCAAGAGAACTAAAATTTTATGGGTGAAATGGCAGCATGGAGTGACTTCTCTTCCTCCACAATGCCTTCTCTTCTCCCTTCTCCTCCATCCCCATTCTAATTCCCATCATCATCCTCATCATCCAGGAGCCTTCTACATACACACCTCAAAGTAAGTGTACTTTTCTACCTTTTTTGTTGATTTTAGGCAATTTTCGGTGAACTGGAACCAATTACCTAAAAACCCATTGAAACAATGGTTTCGGTTAACGAGCATCCTTCTGGAACGAATTGCACTCGTTAACCGAGGGACCACTGTACAGTATTATTAGTTTGTATTACTGCCACACCTTCACCTCAAACACCGTAGTGCAGTGTCATTTGCAACAATTATTTTTTTTTTAACTGTGGTTGTCAACACGAAGACTCCCGCCGATGGAAGATGGTGTTTAAAGCTACAGTATAGTACTGTACTGTACACTGTACTGGGGTTGGTCTCATTAGTCGCAGGTGGGATGGGGTTTGGGTGCATTGTCAAGCTTGTCTTTTATATTGTTTGTTTTTCCCACCAATGCTCTCATCTTATATATATATGAAGGGCTGTGGCTACACCTTTACAAAGTTTTAGATACGATTTCATTGGTTGTAATATTATACTGTATTACCATTGCTTAAATCTGAAATGTATTATGAATGGAAGTCAATTCTTTAAAGTACATTAAGATCTCCGTTAGCCGGAACAATTGGTGCAGAGCACTTCTGGGAATGAGAGATTTCCGTGTAACGAGACGACTCTCTCAAAGATGGAAAGAAAATCCCTCATCCCCGGAATTTTCCGGGTTGCGGAAAAATTTTCGTGTTCGTTCCAGAAATAGCCCATTATATAATCTCTCGAACCCAGAAAAAAATTCCTTCATCCCTGGAATTTTCCGGAAAATGTGCCCCTCGGAAAATCGTTCCTAAAGCTGGAAATTTCCAGAAAATTCCGGCTTTGGGAACGATTTTCCGAGAAAATTTCAATTCCGGCTATCGAAGAGTTCCGTGTTTGAAGGATTCCGCCTAATGCAGATATTACTGTATAATTCTTTTTAATTATTTCTTAGGTAAATTGCACACGGCATAATGGCTGTGTGGCAAATTCTTCTGACTGTAGTGGGGATACTAGTAGGAGTTATACGGTTTGTCTACAATTTTCAAGCTGGACGCTGCAAGTCCCAAAAGAAATTGGAAGGAAAGACTGTTATTGTCACTGGGAGTTCTGCAGGTAAGTTTGGTAATTCATCAGAATATCCTCCGATGTTGCTACTTTTGGTTCTTATTACACCTACACAGTGAAAGCTGGACATTTGTTATTGCTCTGATATCCATTTGTCCATATACTGTACTGTACAGTACAGTATATTGGAATGAGTTGTTCATTTTTATGAAAAACACATGCAGTACTGTATTTTACTGGGATCTATAATATGGCACTTTCTGTATTTTCTATACAGGTATAGGAAAATCTGCAGCTCAGGACTTTGCTAGACGTGGAGCACGAGTGATCTTAGCCTGCAGGAATTTAGAGAAGGCTCAAAGGGTTGCTGGTAGGTTTTGTTGCATTTCCATGTTGGTGAAGGATGAAATTAATAGTGTAGTTGTAACCTTGTCCAAAAGACTACATACAGTGGTCTACTGGCTTCCTAACTTATATTTATTAAACACTCGTCATGTACTTTATACTGTACCATTAACGGGTTATTCCGTCTTGCCAGCCTTTTCTTGTTATATTGCAGAGCAACTACCTGTAGAATCATATCTTTTGCTGTCATTTAGTCTCTTTAACTGCATGAATAAATTTGTTCTGCTAAGGTGTTCCTCTTTCACACTACAGGTCTAAGATTTCCACTGGACTTCTCTTGTTACTGCACAAAATATAGCTTAATGTATCAGGTGCATATCCATTCTACATAAGCCATTTAGGTTATCTTTTTGTCCTCAAATATAAGGGAGACTTAGTTCATGGGAGGTGATTGGTTGGTCTTTTGACAGAGACTTTCCATAACTTTCATTACTCCCATTTATATGACGCTTACCTTGTATTTTAGACAAATGTTATATTCACTTATGAGAGTAAATGAACAAGTAGTTAAGAGTGGTTTTTTTTTTTTTTTTTGTAGAACCTCATGGAGATCTCTGATGGATTAGACAGCTTGGTTTTGCAGTTTATAACTTTGGATTTTGTTGTGACTTGTGGGGATTTTGTTACTCTTTGTTGATACAGGTACATGGTTTTCTTTAATAATGTGAAGTAAAGATTGTATATTGTTCCTAAATAAGTTGGCAGAACAATAACATATGTGCAGTATGTTGATTTATTAGACATGGTAGCTACAAAGCCTTTAGTCTCAGGAAGATAACTGTTGCAACTGATCTCCCCAGTTTGAGGCTGATGTGTGTGTGATGAGGTGTGGATGTGTGCTGTACACATTAGGTTAATATATGATTGGTGGCTTTCTAAAGACAATGATGCTCCTGTATTACGAGGAGCCACCTGGCTCCAGACTCTGCATTTTAAGAATAATGTTTACTAAGTGTAGACTGAACTGTTGCAGATGAAATTATCAAGAACTCTGGCAACAATCACGTAGTTGTCCGTAAACTGGATACTTCAGACCTCAGTTCTGTGCGACAGTTTGCAAATGAGATTATCAAGGCTGAGGAATCCCTGCACATTTTGGTAAGTTAAACAATTCCTTTGAAATGTAATGTACAGTACAGTAGTTTCCCCTGGTCAGGTTACTCTTTAATTTTAGCCGTATTTTCTGCCATTTTGTTCAGGATACCTCATCAGCCCCTCAACTGTTTCACCTATAATTATAAATCCCTAATTATTGTCATCATCATCATGTAGTGTGCATTTTTCATAATATTTTCCCAAGGTAACAATGAAAATAAACAAAACTACTGTAATTCTTTTTTTACTACCCATGTGCTTATTTATTTCACCTAATTCATTATTATTCTATAAAACTCACAGCATTATAAACTCTACAAATAAGCTTTCAATGTGTCACAATTTTCATACAACCCCCGTATAACTTACTCCTCAAACTCACTGGGAACAAGTAGACCCATCTTCACCAGCACATTCACTCAGCCAGTTGCCTCATTATCCAGTTTCTCCTCACTTACTCTCATGAATGGAACCCTTTTGTAAGTTTGGGAATGCCTGTAATTTGTTAGTTTCTGGGTTGTTTTATATTGAATTCATAATTTCTTTTATTATATAATCCTTAGAATATATTACTGAGGTAGTTACTTTAATTTTTCAGGTGAACAACGCTGGTATAGCGGGGGAACCCAAACGAAAGTTTACAGCTGATGGTCTCGAGTTGACTATGGCTACTAATTATTATGGCCATTTTCTTCTTACCAACATGCTTCTCAGTATGTAGACATTTATGTATATTATAGATATAAGGCACTGTAATAGTTTTTACTGTTACCAAGGGTAACAATTTTATCTTGTATAAATAATAAATAATATTAAGTGATAGTGGACTGTTTTGAGGTGAGATCTTTATGGATGTAGAACACGAGGACAGATGTATAGGTGATATGAGATGTTAATGAATTTCATTTAGACGCACTTGCTCTGGTGAGGGAGACTTACTCTACCCTTGAAGTTATGTGAAGGCAAGAATCATATACTGTACTGTACAGGCTTTTCATTCACAGAATTGTTGAAAAAAAGTGCCCCCAGCAGAATTATAAATGTATCATCTGTAATGCATAATTACTGCAAGAAGTTAGATCCTGAAGATCTCAACTTTGAGAAGATGTCCTTTGGAAGAATTAAGGTCTACTCACAGAGCAAATTGTGTAATGTTCTCTTCACACTTGAGCTCTCAGAGAAGCTTCGTGGCACAGGTATGTAAACAAAGATTTTTATTTATTTCACTCCAGATAGTTTGTCTAGGATATAAATGTGTAGACAAATATTAAAATTTATCAAGAATGCAAATACACCTGTAGGTAGTTGTAAGTTCAGGCAGAATACAAACATGCTTGACAAGTCCACCTGTGGCACTGGGAAGGCCTAACTTTAGACAGTGGTGGAAGACATCATATATCAAATAAAAAATAAATAAAAAATATATGTACATATACCAACTGAACATAATTAATGTATCTGAGTCACAGACCAAATCTACATTCAAATATTCAAAAAAAAAAAATCAACTAAACTAACTAAAGTTGAAATAATTTATTAGAAAAAATATACTTTCCACAATTTATGTACAGCATTGAAGAAAACTTGAGTGCATCCCAAATGAAAAGTGGCCTATCCAGACATCCAGAAAATGATAGCCATCTGGTTGACACATCATTGCAGCACTAGACAGTGGCTTACAACATATTTTCAGGGCTCCTTACAGAAGTCGAACTATTCAATTATGACATCTCCTGAACAGTGTTTTTCTTCTTTCTAGCTGTACAGGAGTGTATTAATGTACTGGTATATGATTGTTTACTGAAAAATAAATGAAAAATTAAGTCATATTGTTTTTCAGGAGTCACAGCCAACAGCATGAACCCTGGAGCAGTATGCACAGAAATATGGACTAAAGATAATTCTGTTATTGGATATGTACAATTTGTGCTGTTCAAGTTGGTAGGAAAGGTAAGGGAATGGCTTATACTATTAATATTAAACTCCCTTATCCTGTACAGTATTGTGTTAACTATTGTTGTCACACTCTTAATTGTCTTGGAAACTATTTCTCACTAATTATTAAAAGCATTTGTAATGAGAATAATTTAACATCTTTCTACTAACCATCTAAATTAAGCTAATCTCTTCTCATGTAACTTAACCAAACTCTAGAGCAGGGGTTCCCAAGCATTTTCCAGTGTGATCCTGTCAAGTACTGTCACCTTATGAGGGCTTGAGCTGCCACCATTTATGAGGGCTGCTACTGCCACCAACAATTCCTTTTACTGTTATATATCACCATTGGTAGCGTGACGATAGGAGGCTCGTGGGTAGGTGTAATGATAGTATCAAGCAATAGGGAAGAAATAACGGTAAATACTGTAGGTAAATAATATACACAATTATACAAATACAAAGTTTATTTAAACATGAATATGAAATTAGAAGAAAAAATTGGTTTGTACTAACAGACGAAATCTATTACTAGGCCCTCAGGCTCAACATACTCACACCATTACTGGGTGGACATATTCAATACACTTCCAACCCTACTGGGTGGACATACTCAATAGCACAACTATGATAGTCACTTAGCACCATAAATACTAGGCAACTGCCACTACAACACTCAGTCGTCAGGAGTGATACTCAAGCAACAGCCATGGGGTCCAGCCACCATGGAGTACTATCTGACGAACTCTGGAGATCCCAGTGGGTTAATTCCACCACACAAATATAACCCTACTGAGTTAGACACTCATCCACCAATGATGGGGGCTGGTAGTGGTGTGTGGCTTGGTGGTCCGGGGTCACCTCGTGGACCGAGCGTTAGGGCCAGACGAGCCAGCTATGGGGGCTATAGGTGGTCTGAAGTGTCTGACGGCCGGGTCTCACGAAGGTAACTGATCCTACTGGACCTCGGACATGTCCCCAGACATAGTGGATACAACATCCACCCTACAGACACGGCCTAGGCTGCGTTAGGGACCTGTATGGATGAAGGGACGGGCACTTACTAACCGGTGACAACAACAACACGTTTCAGGGGACGTTAAAGACGTAAATATGACTTTACTCAGAGCATATCAACTACGTTACTGTAACACTTGCACAATCAACTATTAATTGGGTCAAATCACTTAAAGAAGGGCAAATTACAACACAGCGTGGAATGGCATACCTGTATGGATGAAGGGACGGGCACTTACTAACGGTTAAAATGCCCGCGTGCCCTCACTCAAACCAGACCAGGGAGTCCACCTACTCCTATTCCGATGAATTAATTTACGGTACCCTCTGACGTTGAAATTGAGACTATGAACTCATTTTCATTCTCTACTATTATCTTCACTAACAATGCTCTGACTCAGCTATCGAAAGCAAAATTAAATTGATTACAAAGGAATGGATGGCAACAGGTCCCAGCATACAGCGTCTGCTCCCATAGACAAAGGCGGGGGAAACAGAGAAAACGGGGGACGTTTCCACTGGGGGACTCGGAAGGTTTTGTGGACGTTTGAGCGTAATATGAATCCTTAAGGTTTTCAGGTTAGCTCTTATCATGACCATTACAACCTGTCCAGTGCGACCCCAAGTCATTATATACAGTATATAATTATGAAGATCCTTAGAGTAAATACGGACATATTGATACCTGTATACATATTTAACTGTAAAAACAAGTAAGGAAAATGTATTACAAATTGAGAAGTCTAAAACTAAACACTGGCAGAAACAGGCCTCTGTCATGTTTAATATGTGACATTATATGACCATTTAACGTTCTGTACCTGGGGACATAATTACATGGTTAAGCAACACAACATACAATTTTCTTAGTTACATCTCTGTCATACTGTACGTATTTTGTAGGTAACTTGTGTGCATCATCATATAATTAATTTTCATTACAAGTTACATCAGTCAATAACTCATATGGAATCCGGTCATTTCGCCCACACTATAGAGTCGGTTCTCCCACAAGTCATTTTACCTACATTTAGAGTTGATTCACCCACACTATCAAGTCGGTTCGCCCACACCTGTTTTATTGAGGCTTAGTAATGTATTAATGTAAAGAACTGAACTTTGTTGGGTCGCTTAGTGAACAGTGATCCTTATTTAAGGAACAATGGTGACTATTTAGGGAACATTGATGCCTCTTTTGGGAAGAGTGATGACTATTTAGGGAACATTGGTTGGTACAGTGAGTTCTGCTATAACGCGTGTTTTGATAACGCGAATTTGCTCTAACGCGATTTATGAATTCGGAACAATATTTGTATAACGCGATCGCTTGTTTGCTATAACGCGATTTTTGCTTACTATTTCTCCAATTTTGTGGTATTAACTGTGAATATGGTAAAGAAGAATATCTCCAAAAAGCATTCTGATGATAGAATTCCCGGTGATTATCGTAAAAGAAAGGATATAACACTTGAAGAGAAGCTTGATGTTATCAACCTCAAAATCACCCTTCTCCCCCATCAAGTTACATTCATATTTTTTCAAGGTAAAGTGTTAAATTTACTGTATGATTTCATTATTAGATATGAATGTAACATTTATTTAGACTGTGCTATCCTTTGTGTTAGGCTAACTACTAAATTTTTTCGATTTCGAGTAAACTGCACCTAACCCTATTTTCTCCATAAGCCCTGTTATTTCTATTACGCGATTTTCTATAACACGATATTTTACAAGAACACAATTATCGCGTTATAGCAGAACTACCTGTACTTAGGAAACATTACTTGGTACCTACTTAGAGAACATTGCTGGCGGGAGATGTGCGAACGTGTTACTTTTTAATGAGGTGGACTCATTTTCCCTGCTTGAAAACCTTCTCCACAAAGAGGCCAGATTAACTTCTGTACATATAAGGCTGGTATCAGAAAAGAAGCTCTGAAGGATCCAGTGAAGAAAGTGTAGGGAGTTGCAGGCCAAAATATTCGTTCTTTGAGACGAATACTTGAGGAATGAGAGGTCAGCTTGCCAACTTCTGAGAGCTTGTGCCCATCTCAATGGGCCAGTCAGCAGCTGATATGTGACCAAACATCCTAAATCTGCTCTTTGTTACTTCTATGATTGACATTTTAAACCTTTATAGTTTGTGTATTTTATATAGATTTTTATATATGAAAGTCACCGAATAAACAACCTGAGACTTAATTTGTATATACTGTATTACATTGTTATCTGGTACATGACTAAACATAAATAAAACTTGACAAAGTGTGGGCGAACTGACTTCAGGTGTGGGCAAGCCGACTCCTAAGTGTGGGCGAATAAACTCTAAATGTGGTTGAATGGACTTGTGGGCGAATCGACCGTAAACCATTCATATGTAACGTGTGTGCATTATCATTTAATAAATTGTCTGTTAATTTGGGGTATAATTATGTGATTAAACAACATAGCACACAATTCTCTCTCTAAGTTTAAGTTTGATATACGGTTATGGTGATAATTTTTTCTAAACACCATTGACGAGAAAGCTGCCTCACAGACTTCCAAATTATACCAGAACTTTAATAGCTTGATTTTTAACCGCTGAATGTCAATTTGATAAATAACCCAAAACATTGATGTCATCATAGATGGCAAAAATCACCCTTGCCTCTTGTCAGCCTGTAACTGCTATTTCGAGGACAAAAGAGCCACACTGTTTTACATCTGTCTTGAACAGAAACTGAGCAAAATCCAAAGGTTCAGTAAGCAACTCAAGGAATCTAGCATTGAAATTTGTTGCCATTTTTCGTCTGCATCCATGGGAAGTACAGCGTGCATTGAGCTGAGAACTATTCAAAGGAAGGGGTGTGAATTTTATTCTGCGTACGTAATGTGTCATCAGCGTTCGCCTTCCCAGGACTGACCTGACTTGACACAAGAGTAACTGCATTATTCCCTTGACCATAATTTATGGTCCCGACTTAACGAGACAGCACCTGTTGGCCACTTCCTTCAGTCCTTGACACCTGGACTATGAGCTTTATGGGACTCCATCAACCCCATGACCTCTATGCAAACCCTTATGATGCATCTTGCGACCCCGTGTTTGGGAACCATTGCTCTAGAGGGAACTGTCATTATTGAAAGCAACTGTGAGTCATCTTCTCAAAGGCAAAAAGCATGCTGTAATAAATCAGATTTAAATTAGCACAAGTACTGTATTCAGAGATGTGGGCTGGGATCCACTAATCTCTTCAGTCACAAACCTCTCTCTCACTGACCATTACCACTGCTCTCAGTTTCATTCATTAATTGGTTTGTTTTAATGGTCATCCTTTATTATTGTATACTACTGTATATTAATAGAATGTTTATATTATAATCTCTTCTATAGTAGTTCCCTGAGTAATCCCAAGGTAAGGTACCAAAAACTGGGTGGAGGGTTAGATTTGCTCTGGGATGAAGTCCACATTTAAAGGGAAATAGGGGTTAAAGGGGGTGAGCCTATATTTTTGTCAATACCTCCCAATTAAAACATTTACAGGATATCCTTATGCTGTACTGTATATATATTAAGGCCTTGCTTTTATGCAGTACAGGATATATATAGGTGTGATTTCCATTATAATTAATGAATGAATACTGAATAAGGCATTGCTATTCCCAGTCTTGCCCAGCTGATCTAACACTGCATTGCTTTTAGGTACTAAGTTATCATTATAAAATATATGAATCTGCAAACCTACATACAGTACAGTCAACCCCCGCTTTACGCGGTCCCACTTTACGCGTTTCCACGTTTACGCGGTACCCTGCCGAACACGGAATGCTCACTTTCCGCGGTGTGTGTACCCTTTTACGCGGAGAGCGGCGCGAGCAGGGTGCGCACAAGGTCGCCCAGTCATCAAAACATTACCGAGTTCTTCACCCGCCACCCACCACAGCCGGCCCAAGTCAGTGATAGTGATAATGATAGTGAGGATATGGACTTATATGGACTTTGAGGGGTTTGACAAAGAGGCCCTGCAAGCCTCTGTGGTGGATAGTGATACAATTGATACAAGTGATACAGGTGAGGGCCAATAATCTGCCCTCTGCCTCGGAACTAACCCCCCATCCCCGTGTGCCCAGCCATCTTTTCTACGAATGTAAGTGTTAAAAACCTAACATTATTGATATTTCTCTTAATTATTAATTGTGTGTGCATACCATCATAAAATTTAGAAGTTATTTTTACTACAACGTAGGTATTGTGTCTGAAAAAGTGGAGTTTGGGGGTCGGCCCAGTCTCTATTTCAATTAATCCCATATGTTATGTTGTTCACTTTACGCGGGCCGCCGTGGGTTCAATTGACCGCGTAAAGTGAGGGTTCACTGTACATTGAACGTATGTCAAGCAGGCACTCACTAAATGAAACAAGAGAAAGACTTTGAGTTTCATTGATCGTGCACTTACATAGTAAATTTAATTGATATCCTTCACACCATTTCTTTTCCTCAGGATTGTGACTTGGGAGCGCAGACTATTATATACCTGGCTGTTTCAGAAGATGTTGATGGTGTCTCTGGCAAATATTTTGAGGAGTGTAAGGTATGAGTATTGCACAGTACAGTATTTTGTTTTGTTGTAAGGAGCCCAGAATCAAGACTACAAGTATTTTCGTTTGTCATCATCCATTCACTCTTAACTGCTGTAACATCCACATAAACCATTTTTCAATATTGTACTGCTGCTTCCTGTGTGGCCTTTTCCCTTACTTCTAGTTTGTCCTTAACGTCATCTTTCCATTGCTGTCTAGGTCTTTGCATCTCACACTTACCATGTACATTCACTCCTGAAGATATCTTTATGGAGGGCTCACACGAATTTCAAAATGAACACTGTGACGACTGTTGTCTCGGTACAGTTGTCAAAATCCTTCATCTGTTGTGTTATATTGTGTAACACAAAATCGCAAAGATACAATTTAGACCGAGTGTATACTTTGGATTTTTGCAGTCATTTCACCATTCTTTAGTTGCTTCTTGAGTCTCCTCTGAGCCCAACAGCTTCAGGGAAATGGCAGACAGATTGTATAAGTAAGATGCTATGTAGGAAAAAGACTAAGCTAGAAAACTGACAAAAGAAATTTCTCCTATACAATAGCTTTGGATTAAAAAAGATAACATGGATCATTACCACTACAGGTGATACATGATTGACCAACTACTTTACCTAACTAAGGTGTACAACTTCAAAGGTCATCAAATAGTGTGAATTAAGTTTTTGCTTAAAAAGGAATTTAGTACATTTCAATTAGAAATGGGGTTGTTGGTGGGAGTAAATAGTTAAACTTACTGGGGAAGTTCACTTTGTTCTGGATGCCATTCGTGTCAAGTTGCTGTATCTTGATTTTTTTCCTGCTTTTGGCTGTGTTGTGTTAAGGGTGGGAGGATGATATAGAGGTTGTTGGTGAAGGTGCAGCCACAGGTCAAAATTTGTTTTTTATTGACCTTTACCTTATTGTAATGTGAGTACTGTGTTCCTTATTGGCTAGGTATATATTTCTGGTTCAGGGTTGAGTTCTGTCTCCTGCTTGCAATACAAGGAGGGTCTTATGTGGTGGATTGCTTATATCCCTTAAGTGATTTTATTTTCTGGGAGCATGGGAGTGTGTGATAAAATTATTATACTGTATAATCCTTTTCTCTTGTAGTCATTATGTATTAATTTTCTCTTCTAGGATAGTCAATGTTCCAAACTTGGAAGACACCGTGGATTTGCTAAGAAGTTATGGGAGGCTAGTGAACTGGATGTTAAGTTACAGCCTGAAGAAGTACACTATTAATCATGGAAAGAATCACAAATCAAGAATTATCTTGATTGACTTGGAAACTCGGGTTACCTGCTTTTCCTCTGTTTCAGATGTACAGTTGCGAAAATGTGTTCCTACACCCCCTGTGGTAACCCGTGACCTATAGCAAACCTATCCTCCAATCATGTCCATCATTACACGACCAATACCCATTCATTCTTAAATAGTGATACTACTACTGTGATGTTGCCGTTTGGAGACACGGGTTACCACAGAGGATGTAGGAACACATTTCTGCAACTGTATCTGAAATAGATAACTGATTCTGACAAATCCAAACTTGTTTCTTGGAAGAGGTTGATTACATTTATAAATGCTGTCATTAATTTAGAATTGTTATACAGTAGAACATCGATATAAAGCAATTCAATTTAAGATTATTGATTTAAAGCGACACCCACAATTAAGGACAATGTTTTAATTTAAAGAGAATCTTTCCTATTTTGCGCGAGTCAATCTGGCGCATCATATTTAAAATTTTGCGCCTAATGTTTCTCCGGGCACGCTACACTGTCCTAAGGGCAAAGCTGTACTGTACATGTACTAAGAATAATGTACTAAATGATAAGTAAAATTTTTGTCTAGTGCAAACTGTGGCATATATTTAAATTAATCACCATCTTATAAGAATTCCAGCAATGTAAATTATTTTCTCCCCGGTCACTTCTGTGACAATTTACAGTATAAGCAAAAAACATAAACTCAAGTTAAAGGACATAAATAAAAAGTAGATACTTCACTACACCTTCGGTGCCAACTGTCAAACAGGTCACTGTCACTCATCCCCCTCATATATATATATATATATATATATATATATATATATATATATATATATATATATATATATATATATATATATATATATATATATATATATATATATATATATATATATATATATACACACACACACACACACACACACACACACACACAGGTGCTCCCCGACTTACAACGGGGTTAGGGACCCAAATCCAGTTCGTAAGTCCGACATTATCGTAAGTCCGACATAATAAAAAAAAAAATAAATAAATAAATAAAAATAAATCATTTAAAAAAAATCTACAATGAAATACAGTACAGTAAAAGTAATAAATAATGAGGAATGGATACAGTGTGACTGAGACCTTACCTTAAATGTAGTCAGCTGAATGCACACGGGGCCCCCATAATTTTCTATTTACAGGATACATGGAGACTATATTAATTGGATGAAGCAGAAGAGGAGACAGGGCTGGGTGGGTCATCAATGTCGCTTCCTTCAGACAGGTTTATGTACGGTGGAAACTTGCTGGTTGAAGGTATTGGATCATCTTGAAGGAGTGAAGAGGCAGCACTGGTGGGGCGTGAGGAGACAGCACTGGGGGACTTCTTGAAATAGATGTCCAATTTAGACTGCACAGTTTGCTTTTTCTTTTCATTATAAATTTCTGTGTAGCAAGCAAGTGCATCTTGGATCATTCTGTCAACTTTGGCATAACGCTCATAATTTTGATCCATGCCATCAAACATTTGCATTCCTTTATTAATTGTAGCAAATGCCTCTGCCATATGTTTCACTGAAAACTTTTTGGGGGGTACAGGTTCTTCTTCTACATTGTCTCTCTCTTCTTTCTCTGCAATTTTCTGTGCATCTAGTTCAATAAGATCCTCGGTACTGAGCTCTTCTGCTACACTATCAACCAACTGTCCAACATCTTCATTATCAGTTTCTAACTCCAGCTGTTTACCTAACTTCACTATCTTGTTACTAATATCCAAAATAACTTCATTTTCATTAAATCCTTTGAAACTGTTTACATATCTTTTCAGGATTTTCTTCCATATTCCATTCATGTAATGTTTTGTAACCTGATCCCATGCTGCACTAATGTTCTTTATACATGACAAAACGTTGTACTCCTTCCAAAACTGTCTGAGCGTTTTCTCACCTTCAGTAGCAGCAACAGCCCGAGCGAAGGTCGTACGTAAATAACACGCTTTAAAGGCAGCAATAGCACCTTGATCCATGGGTTGGATGATAGAGGTAGTGTTAGGTGGAATGTACACTACCTTAACATCAGGGTGCATGTCGTCCAGGTGTGGTGGGTGTCCCGGAGCATTATCCAAAATAAGTAAAATCTTGAATGGAATCTGTTGTTGCAGACAATACTCCTTGGCTCGTGGAATGAAACAACTCGTGAACCAATCCTCAAACAGTACTAGGGTCATCCAGGCTCTCTTATTACTGCGATAAAATACTGGCAGTGTGTGCTTGCTGACATGTTTAAAAGACCTGGGGTTCTCTGAATGATAGATCATGAAGGGCTTTAGCTTGAAACCAGTAACATTCCCCCCCAACAGAAGTGTAATTCTGTCCTTGAATGCCTTGAATCCGGGCATTGTTTTCACCTCTTTGTGGATGTATGTCCGCTCAGGCATGCGCTTCCACAATAATCCAGTCTCATCCACATTGAATATTTGCTCAGGCAAATAATTCCCTTCCACAATCACATCAGCTAACTCCTCCTTAAAAGTTTCGGCAGCACCAACATCGGCACTAGCTGCCTCTCCACTCACCTTAACATTGTGTAGACTGTAGCGTTTCTTAAATCTATCAAACCACCCATGACTTCCTGTAAAGGTTTGATCACATTCATCTGCCTGCTCCTTCAGGCTTTGGAACAGGCTTCCTGCTTTAGCCTGTATGGTTAGAAGGCTTAAGGGTACATGCTTCTGTATCTGGTCTTCTATCCATATCACCAATAATTTTTCCATATCGTGAATAGGACCTTGTCTTCTCTTTGATATTATAGTTCCCTTTATATGTGTTGTTCCTTTCACTACATCACGAATACGTTCCTTGTCCTTCAGAATAGTGGATATAGTCGAGTGTGAGAAACCCAGGTCGCGTGAGATTGTTGCTACTGTTTTTCCATTCTCATGCTGTGTTATTATAGTATCTTCATTTTCATCTCAAAAGTAATTGCCTGTCTCCTTTTCTTTGGAGTACCACCAGCACTCTCACTTTTACGCTTTCCAGTCATTATAAAGTCAATTAAATACGATAATAACGAAAGTTCACAGCGCGATCAGTATAAAATACGATAGCCAAACACCAACTAAGCGCTCCACTGAGTGAGTGTACCCACGAGGCGACCCGAGACCCTCTCGCCCGGGACGGAAACGTTTCGGTATAGAAAATGCGCGCGTCATTTGAAAATATTTTTGGTCATGACGGTCGCAGTCGTATGTCCCGACGGACGTGCGGTCAGAGCAGGTTGTAAGTACCAATGGACGTAAGTCCATGTGGTCGTAAGTCGGGGACTACTGTATATATATATATATATATATATATATATATATATATATATATATATATATATATATATATATATATATATATATATATATATATATATATATATATATATATAATTTATTTATTTTTTTACAGGGATTAGCCCACCCGGGGCTGGGGGAAATGTAATAATAATAATAATAATAATAATAATAATAATAATAATAATAATAATTCCGATAAGTAAATAAAAAATAAATAAAAATAATAAAATAATAACAACACTGCAATAATAAGAATAATAAAGAATCATAAAGAAATAAAATAAAAAAAGATCAAGAGTGAGAAACAATATACTGTACAGGGTATATGTATGTTGTGTTGTCAATGTTAAGAGAAACAATTGAGACCCCGCAATTATGTGTAAATGAGGCAGAAAGTCAGATCAGCAACCTGGGACTTGGTCACAATTTTTGTGATGCCTATGGCAGCAGGGTCTACCATAGACAACACATTATGCTTCCAATATCTTTCCAGGCGGTAGTACCTCCCTGTTTGGTAGCTGCCTATCTACCTACTACTTTTAAATGTCACAGACTAAAGTTAGGAGAATATAATTTGTATTGCTGGAATCCTTGCAAGACAGCAAATAATTTGAATATACAGTAGTACCCCAATTTACGCGGTCAATTGAACCCACAGGGTACTGCGGAAAGTGAACAACAGAACATATGGGATTATTCCAATAGAGACTGGCCCGACCCCCAAACTCCACTTTTTCCGACAATACCTATGTTGTAGTAAAAATAACATCTTAATTTTATGATGGTATGCATACACAATTAATATTTAAGAGAAATACAGTCGCCAGGTTAATGTCCATTCAAATAATGGACTCGACTCCCCCCCCCCCCTCTCTTCCCAAGCTCCCTCCTTGAGAAATGTTTGGGTGAAAACACTCGATTTTAAGGTATAGTAATAAATAATACCTCAGACTAAAGTTAGGATAATATAATTGACATTTCTGGATTCCTTGCAGGTCAAGGAATATTTTGAATGTAAACTTCATATATTTTGCACAACTGATAAAATATTTGCTTTGTGTAAACCAAATTATTACATTAGATCTAAAATTTGTATGTCTAATGCAAAATCCATGATGTTTATATTCAAAATTATCATCATATTGTAAGAATTCCAGCAATGTAAATTATATTCTGGCCGGGTAATTTGTATGAATTTTATGAGCTAAAACAAATATCTTAACTAAATAAAAAATATTCATCACCCAGACACTATCTGTCAATCAAAATACCCCACCTCCGGCTGCTCCCCCTCTTCACATGATCGCTGGGTCCCTCCCTCCCTACCCCCCACCTTCCCTCCCTACCAGAGAAATGTTTGGGAGAAAATAGTATCTTTACATTTTTAGTAATAAATAATACCTCAGCCTAAAATTAGGATAATATAATTGACATTTCTGGATTCCTTGCAGGTCAAGGAATATTTTGAATGTTAACTCCATGATGTTTATATTCAAAATGATCATCATATTGTAAGAATTCCAGCAATGTAAATTATATTCTGGCCGGGTAATTCGTATGAATTTTATGAGCTAAATAAAAAAATTATACTTCACCCGCGTATATGAGTAGATGCACCGCGTAAAATGAAATTCCGGTTCTGGCGAGGTACCGCGTAAATGTAGAATCGTGTAAAGCGAAACGGCGTAAATCGGGGTATTACTGTAAACTTCATATATTTTGCACAAGAGAAAACATTTTTTGCTCTGTTATAAAATTCTTAAATTAGAAATAAAATTTGTATGTCTAATGCGAGCTACAGCATGTTTATATTCAAATTAATCACTATCTTATAAGAATTCCAGCAATGTTAATTATATTCCCTCATGCCAGTTCAGCGACATTTTATAAGAGAAAAACTTAGTCATTATTAAGGACAGATAAATAAGCACTAGATCTTGGCATCAACTGTCAAACATATCACCTCGCCTCCGTCCCCCCCCCCCTCCCATCTTCCCAGCGAGTAAACAGACCATTTCACATCCCTTAATTTTAGCTGTGTTGATTTATGAGTGTTTGTTTTAACATATTACTACAAAAAAAAAAAACAATGTTTTATTTATTCTAGGAGATGGGCTGAGGTGCATCTAGGTAGACTCGCAGTCTTTTTAGTATTTTGTGTTTCTCTCAAGTACCAAACTAAATTATTCCATTGAAACAATACTGTACTTTGATTTAGTGCGAATTCAGTTTAAAGCGACCTCTCTTGGAACGTATCTCGCGTTATATTGGACGTTCTACTGTACTATGCAAATGGCCCTCAACTTGCACCTGTTTTGGAGCTGGGTATCACTTATACATAGTCAAGAAAATGTAACAATATTTTCTTGGCACAATGACTGGATTCACTTTTATATGGTGTAGTATGGTTGCTGGAGTCTGAGGAATGCACCATGTGTGCTGCCTCATCACCCAAGCCACAATGTTCCCCCGGCTCATATCTCAGTACTGACACATGCTGTGTATTATATTAGTTTGTCTGCCTTTGTTGAGCAAATACCACACGGTCCATTCACCTTTTCCTGCACAGAAAATATTTAACCTGCACTCTTTTCCAGCATTATAATTCCAAATATGTTAATAGTTACAGGTTGACAACCCTTTATCTGAAATTCCGAAAACCGAAAGTTTTTTTTTTTGTGGGGCAAAACTTTTTTTTTTTAACAGGGATTAGCCCACCCAGGCATAGATAACTGACCCACATCAGGGCCTGGGGGGCGAAAATGTAATAGTAATAATAATTATAATAATAATTATTCATAGTAAATAAAAATTTTAATAAAAAATACACCAAAATAAAATAATAATAATAAAATATAATAATAAAATTAAGAATAATAATAATAATAACAACAATAATACTGTAATAATAATAAAGAAATACAAGAATGAAAAAAAGATCAAAGTGAGAAACACGACCTAGACCTATGAATTATTATTATTATAATTTTTATTATATTCCCCCTCCCCCCCAGGCCCCAATGTGGGTCAGTGACTTGTACCCGGGTGGGCTAATAATAATAATAAAAAAAACCTAACCATTCTGAAAACCGAAAAATTCTGAAATCCGAAATGCCTCTGGCCCCAAGGATTTCGGATAAGGGATTGTCAACTGTATTACCTTTTAATTACCTCATTATTGTATGTATTAAACTTCTTTATCAAATATTTCAAGTTTATTATTTATAATTACTATAAAGTATTTTTTTTTATAAGAATATACTGTACAGTATAGTATAACTATACAGTACTGTACTGTAAACACATCAGGTTTATGACCTGAACACATATCTTGTGTAGACATGATACATAAGTCTTTTGGCTGCATCTGGATCACTCTTGGCAATGCCTTCCAACCATCGCTCCAATATCAACTTTGTGGGCAAATGAAAAATCACCCGAAGCCACTTGTACAGTGCTGGGCTCTGAAGATAAAATGCCAATGCCAACATTTTCTCTCGCACACTAAATCTGAAAAGAAAAAAAAAAAGAGAAATGAATGGCCTGAACTTGCGAAACTTTCTATTTTATGTCTGGTGAAGGACAAAGACGTGACCTATGTCATTATCCTCACTTTACCAGATAATGTTTCTATAGCCATGAAACTAATATAGCAGTGATATTGATTGTCTTGGTCAAACACAATACTGCATTCTGAACAAATAATTTACCATTTACATTTAATGTATTCAGTACTGTAATCAGGCAATTGGAGAAGTATTTTGTCCATACTGTACAGTACTATAATACAGAGTTAAGATGTTAAAACTCATTACTCTTCACTGAGAGGGTTTAGGTCACATGTTTATCCTCCCCAGTCATAAAATAGAATTTCATAACTTCAGTCCATCCATTATGGTTGATATGGGATATCAGACACAACCCAAAAACTCAGGGCAAGACAGAGATGAGTTTAAATAAGATCTACCTGATGCCTTGCATGTTATTACAACCAGACTTGAGCTGCAGTGTGAAGAACACAAGCTGGTCCTCAGTCAGGAACCGTGAGGCACCATACACAAGGTCGGCCAATGTGTACACTCTTGGTCTCTTTCTTAATTCCTGAACTGCACGACAATACCTCTGTCGCAACGATGCCACTTGTTGATTGTACGTCCTGTTCAAAAAGAAAAGGTGTACCTCGGGTTCATTAATCAATACATATTTTACAAATACTGTACAGTAAGTTTTTTTTTCTATAAAAATTTATTTTACAGTTTAAGTTTTCTTTTTTCACTCTTGCAAACCTTTTCTATAAGATGCCGGGTGACTGAAGTCAAGTGGCTGACATAGACTCTTGCCTCCTGTTCTCTAACTGCCATAACAGATGTAAATAGTATTTCTCTATTGCTGTATTAACTTGAAACAAGTAAGGTATATTAATGTGCAGATTTTTGTTTTAAATCTTTCTCTTTACACACAAAAATAAATTTTTTATGTTTCACTAATTTCTACCATTTGCCTTGGAGACTCCCCATGAAAAGTACAAGGTGATGCATGTGGTAAGAGAAAAATGGCCACATTGCTTTAACAAAACCCCTTTCTTGCAAATAATAAATTTACATAAAGTGCAGTAGTTACAGTACTATAGCATATTCATCAGGCAACTGTTAAATTTTCAGTAAATGCTAGCACAAGAATTGTAATACCTGTACAATTTTTCTTTATAAATTCAAATTAGTGCATAATTATGCCCTTGAGTGTTGAAAGAATGGTATTCAAAATTAAAACTTTTTGTAGTACAGCACAGTAATATTCCAGTTGAAACCTTACCTGTTCAATTGCTTGCTCTTTATCCTCCTCCCTCGTGACGAGAGTTTTGGTTTAGTGCCATCCACTTCTATGTCTGTCTCCAGTTTTTCTTCATCAATTAATGTAGGTTTAATGTGAGATGTTGATGGTAAGTCTTTACTGTCAGCTTCACTTTCTCCATCATCCATTACCTTAGGAATCAGGAGAGGTATAGTGCTTGTTTTCTTGCCTGTTGTTGTAATCACATGATAAATAACATTCTCTTCATCATTCAAAAATGATGTCTCACCTGTATCTACTATCTGTACTTTGGTTTTCCCACTTGGACCAATCATAGCCTCCACTCTATCTTTTATATCATCCCCTTGCTTAGCTATTTCAAGCAACTTTGATTTATTTGAGCTGGAGGGAGAGTACATATCTTCTTCATTATCACTCATTCCTTCAAGCATATCTTCATCTGGAAAGTCTTCCTGTAATGAGAATTTCTTTCCAAAAACACTAACATAGCTGGTAAAAAGATCGTCGTCAAATGTCAAAGATGGCTCGGCTCTTCTGCCCCGTCCTCTGCCTCTACCACGGTTTGTAAATTTTGAAAAACCTGTCGTTAGATTCATATCCTCCTCATCTGACGTATTAAAATCGGCAACGTAATCATCTAATACCTTAGATCTCCTTTTCCTTTTTGGTTTGTTGTCAGTGTCAGTCTCAGCATCTCCAGGATCTTCTGTACTATCGTATATCAGTGGCATTGTTGTACTAGTTTTGCTGCTCATCTTCCCAGTCTGGGGGCTGGAACATGAAGCTTGGGAATGGCTTGCAACAACCGATTCCGAATCCTGAGACGGTGTTGTCCGAGGTATGAACGTTCCCTTTCTTGGACGACCGCGTTTCCTTCTAAATACAACTGTTGGGCTTGAAAGATTTTTACTTGGAGATGCAGTTGTCTGAGCAGGTGCTTCTGAACCACATATGCTCTCTTCAATTTCCTTGAACACATTCTCCATTACACGATATGACCCACTTGCTTGTTTCTCTAATTTTCCTTCTTTAAGAAACTTTTCCATCATATCAGATGATATATTCATTCTGACTTTCCTGGGACCAGTCATTGTGCTGGTATTTCCCTCAGCTGTGTTTTGAGTCTTGGAATTTGTGAATGAATCCACAAAACTACTATAATTATCCTCTGCCTCAGATACTGGTTCCATTTTAATTGATTTCTTTTGTTCAATCTGGGCACCCTGGCCTGTACAACAGAAAATATTTCATCAACACTAAATCAGAATTTTTCTAAATGTTTTGACAGAAAACCCAAAGGGAATTATAAAAATGTGGAAATTAATGAGATTGTGGTTTATATACTGTAAATTACCTTACAAACAGAACAAGCTACTGTGACTCTGAGTGATGAAATGAACATAGATATGTCTAGAGCTTAACTAAGGCTGAGTTAAATAACTTTTCAACTATCAAGCACTGTAAAAGGAATCCTAATGTACTGGCATCATTAATACTGAATATCAGCATGTAAACCATATTCCTCTTTCATTAAGATTTCTGTACACCCTCATTCATTTCACACTAAAGTTGGAGAGGAATAACAACAAGGGGCAGACAGAAGTTTCCCATACTTGAATCTTGCAGTAGCTGATGACAACTCGGTAAATCATCTGCATCCTCCACAGTCATCCCGATAACTCTTGCTCTTTTGCCTGTTGTGAAACACAGTTGGTCCTCATCCCCCCAGTTCTCTGTCACATCCTTGTCATTTTCAGGGTTTCCTATAATTGCAGAACAAAAATACCCTTCTATTAATATTTACAAATAATTAAACATGTGGACTCAAACTTTCAGAGATTGGAAATTTCTGAAATTTGTGGGCCTCTCCTCCACAATACTGTATATGTATAATATGTACACTACTGTATACTGTATATGATGTGTGCTTTCCTTAATAAAATAAATTGTTTCTATATCTATGTTATAGAGTACCTCATATTTTGAGGCAAAAAGAAGCATATATCACAGGTTTACTGGTACCACAAAGAAACTAAAGTGCTATACAGTACACATAACAGGAGTAAGTACCTTACCAATGTGTGTAAATTCTTGTATGTGTGGTAGAGCAGATGGCATGAGCTCTGGTTGGGCACTGTTGTGAATGATATCTCTTGAATGGAAGTGATCTGAGCAAATCAACAAGTGAGAACTTTCATCACCTTCAGATATGAACTCACTTAGCTGTTTTAACCAAATTGATCGTCTGTGAAGATAATATATATTTTTAAATAGCTTCTTGGGTGTATTATCTGAAAATGAATAGTCTGGAATAAAGCAAATATTTACCTATGATTTATCCGAGACTTGATGAACCAAATCTACCAACAATCCTGCCTTAAACAAAGATACACCATTACCCCTCTCCTTCAACATGGTTTTACTGCATTTGGTAAATATTTTGCAGTGACCATTGACAAAACTTTATATTTATTCTTACAGAGATAAAACAAAAAATAAATAATACTTCACTCTGAAGCATTTTAGTTGGAAATTTGTATTTATATATTTTTTACTTAGATTTCACTTAAAGAAATACAATTTTGAGCACAAAAGGTGGGCAGGCTTTGAACTAAAAGGAAATTCTGGGGTAAAAATGCAAAAACTGACGAAACCAAACGACTCAAATATAATATGCATTTCTAACCTAAGCTAAAACAAGACATTTTTTTTTTTTGTGCTTATTCTCTATCTACAGTCATAAATCACCTGTAGTGGGCGGGGTATGAAGGATGAGGGAAATTGCGGGGTAAATATTTATTTACCATAAATATACTTCCAAAATATCTGCCGTGTCAGCGCGTGTCGTTCCTGTTTTTGTTTCTGTGCAACAATTGACTCGCCCGATCTGAGCAGCCTCACGTCCACAAAAAATATAAAATTACACCATGCCACTTCAAGAAAGTTGCTTTCATTGGTATCAGATATTTGTTTAATATGGTGGAGCCACTGGCTACAAAGTTAGGTAAGGTTTGGTAGGATTCTTTGGTTGGTTAGGTCAGGATCTATTAGGTTCTCTGCATTGTTGCATCATTTTTATTACTTAGTATCATCCCAAACATCTGTGGAAAAAGTTAACAAAATTAAACGACGCATTCTGGTGTTTGCCGTTTGTTCCATGATTACCTGTAATATTTACCCTGCCTTTGATTATTACTCAGTTATTTCCTTTACGAGTTCATGGACTCACTTAATGGTTTCCAACCCCTCCTTACCTCTCAAGTTGGTCAGGCACATTAAAGTAGACAACGTCAGTCCTGTACGTGAAGTTCTTACAGTTTTTGATGCAGCAGCCTCGACTTCCTTCACACTCTAACTCCGCCAGACTTGCTAAAATTGCCTCCTCTTCTGAACCATCCATATTAACAGTATTTTGTATCAGTACTGTGCAGTGTTAAGGAGTAATAACTGGCAGCTGTTGTCCCAAGCCCACAGATCTCAGCTTCTGTTTGTGTCGTTTATAGTATATATTTTCCTGTGAGGTGCTCGCTCTCCCTTTGATAAATAATTAAGGTTCATAACTTTTCTTTTGTATTACAAATACTAATTCAAATTTCATTATAAATTTGAGGTAAAGGTAATTTCAACGTGGTGACTGGAGTTGGTGTCTAAGATAGGTGTAATAGTGTACACAGAATAATTTCCATATGGTAAACACATTAGAAAGTGGCGGTGTAAAGTAAATGTGAACAAACAATATCTTTATATTGCAGCTGCCTGCAGTTTTCAAGTTCATTAGATATCATTGCTTTTTTTCTCTTATCAACGCAAGTAAAATAAGCTGAGGAATGTTCAACGTACGTTTTTTTTGCCCCCCTCCCATGCCTTGCCGTGGAGTTGAACAATGAACATTGACGAAATGTGAATAACAAGCGATGTCAATATTGTTATTAATGTCCATTCTGTATCTGTATTTTTCTTGCTAAGCAAACTGTTTCAATATGTATATCAATAACCACTGAATATTCCCCTTTCGGATGGTCACAGGGTTGGGGTGTGCACTGGAGAAGGCGGTATATTTTATTCATATATAACTTTCCTTTTCGGGACTTTTAAATAAAAGAAAGTATTTCATGCTGGATTTTATTTATCTTTCTCGAGAATTTATATTGTCGGGTACGAGTTGTTTGGTTCACACTCAGGATGGGATGGAGAAAGGAAACTCACAATGTGCTCTCTGTATACATGTTGTATGATGTACAGTGCTGTTGAAGTGGCAGCGTGGTTAAGTGATGTAGAGAGAGCTGGTTGGTGATGGTGCTCAGAGGACCAGCTTGGGTCGCCATGGTCGCCGGGGGAGCGAGGGCCGCGGTCGCCGGCGGGAGCGAGGACGCCAGGGCAGGAGGAGGAGGAGGTGTTACTTGAAGACTGGCTGTAGGTAGAAAGAGTAGGTCGATACGATACGAAGTCTTTAGTTAAGAGGTGAAAGAAGATTGCTGAATGAAGAAAAAGTGGTAAACTGGAATGTTGTGCAGGAGTAGAAAGAATCTGGGCTCAACCAGATCGCTTCATCTTTCTTATTGGTGTTTTGTCTTTGTTCTGCTCCCCTTTGGTCAGTCAGACCTTGTATTACTATTGGTTTATTTATATAATGCCGCTTATTATTATTATTTTGCTGGTTGTTGAGTTTGGCGGAGCCTGCCCAGGGTCCTGTGTAAATCCGGGAGGGTAGCTCAACATTTTTTTTTTTTTTTTTTTTTTTTTTTTTTTTGGCAAGTAGTTTTTAAGTGTTAGTTTGTGTTAGTCTTAAAGCTGCACACTGTATGGAGAGGCCCGCCAGGTTCTTAGTGGAGCCGGTTGGTCACTTCATCTCTTTATTCCTCCAGTAATGTTTTATGCAGAAATGTGTATAATATACAGGAGGTGGTCTCAACTACTCTTCCGGCTGATATAACCGAGAGTGTAAGTAAATTCACTATTATTATTAGTATTTACTAATATATTATTATATATATATATATATATATATACATATTATTACATATTATATTATATACATATGGTATATATATATATTTTTTTTTGAGTTAGTGAGCCCGCCCAGGTTCCTGTAGCTGGAGTGGTGAATACATTTTTTTTTTTTTTTTTTTTTACTAAGATGTTAGTTCAATGTTACCGTTAAATGTTAAATGTTAAATATTAGTTATAAGTTGAATTCAGCGTTGTTGACTGTAGAAGGTGGAGAGGCCTACCAGGTTCTGTAGGAGCTGGTAGGTCACCTCATCTTTATTCTCTCTATTACTGTTTTATATGTATATTGTGGGGCAGGAGGATGGTTCAATTACTTTCTTCCTGGCTGATTTAAACCAACTGTGTTCTGAATCCTTCGTTGTCTATATTATTTATCCAGTTTTGATAGGTTTCTGTGTTAAGTTCAGTCACTTTTTTCCAACATTTACAGCTTTGTTGTGTATATTCACATTGATTGCTGGCGATGCTCGCTCTCTCTGGTGGTAGCTGTTCATTATTGATGTGGTCTGTATATTTATGTTATATATAAATCTGAGGGCTATATTTTGTACTGTTTGTAACCTTTAATGCACGTTTTACTGGTGTTCAATGGATGGGGTGAAATTTATAATTGATTTGACAGTAATATAAATCTTTCTTTTGTTATTAATGCTAAGGTTCTTAAAGCGTTTTATTTTTGATAATCTTATTCCCTTGCCTGTCGTTCTTTATCTTTTTTAAGTATGTTATACATTCTTTTTGGCTCTTTAACTAAGCATCCTACCTTCAGCGTCTTCCATATGGGTATAGTTCCTGGTCGACTATTACTGGACTTATTTCTGACCTGGCTATTAGTATTATCTTGAATTTGTTCTTATTTGTCCTGATTTTCCATTTGTTCTCAAATGATTTTATGTTTCTTTTATCGCTCTTACCGTGTGGTAGAGGCCATAAATTGAGTTGATTTTCCTGCAGGGATACTATTTTGAGTAATATCATCAGCAACATTACACATTATCTACCTGTAAAGGGGGTAGGTTGAGGTGTGTCTGAAGCATAAATTGTATATAGTGTTGAGCAGCAGACTCCTTGAGGTACTCCACTTCAAGATTAAACATAGTTCCTAAAAAGTTTCCAATTTAATAGAAGTTTCCCCATCATCTAAATAGTTACACAATATTCTTAGCAAGTATTCGTTAAGTCCCAGTTTTAATATTTTATATTTCAAGCCTAAATGCCAAACTTTATCAAAGCCTTTAGAAACATCCCTTAAAATTATATTGATCTGGTTAATTCCCTATTTTTTCTACATTAAATATTCGTTGGTTGTAGCCATTGCAGTTAGGTATTTCTATTGGGCATAAATCCATGCTTGTCTGTTGTTAGTTTTCCCATGTTGTGTTAAAAAGGCTATAAGTCTTGAATTTAATATTTTTCCAATAGTTTCGGTACTTTTAATAAAGATATTGGCCTGTAGTTTAATATTTCCTATTGTCCTTACCCCTTTTAGAATAAATATCATGCCTAGCATATTTTAGTTTGTCTGGAAAGTAACAGTTATTAAGCACATGCGTTATAAAATGTTTAATAGTGTATTTAAAATGTTTTCACAGGTATCTGATCATTGTGTAATAATCTGGTGAGCCCAGGGCTTTTTCCTTAAATTTCCTCATAGACAGTGCATCATTTCTCCCATGGTTATTATTTGATTATTAGGTAATAAGTTATAGTCTATATATTGCCTTTAGTGATCTCTATGCATTTGTCTTCCATTTCTTCTTCTATCCTTTCTTCGTGTTCACTATCAAAATCTTCTTATTTTCCTCATCTGATATTTTAAAACTTTACCCATTCCCTTTGAATGCTGACTCTTGTTCATTTTCCTCGTGCAATTTTTTGTTCCATTTTGGTCTTTAATGTATGGTGTTTTTTGTTTGTTGTGCCCCGCATCAACACCAGGTGTTTATGGAAGTCCAAAAATGTTTTTGTGTCTTTAGTCAGTGTCAGCCGCCATTATAATATCATTCCATTTTTTATTGTTTGCTTCCTTACATGCGTCTCTTTACTCTACATCTGTAGTGCTATATCTGTGTCGTATATAGCCATCTACAGCCACTGCCGTGTCTTCATATATACCTGTTTATTTCCATTGTATTAGGTCTGGATTAATTTAACTTCTTCTGGTAGTCTGTTGTTGTGGTAATGTTCTAAAGTGTGGTGCAGGAGTGTGTTTTGGTTATAGATGTTTTATTGCTGAGTGCAGTCTGTCCATTTCTGAGTCTATCTTCTGTTGTTTTCCTGTAGGTTAATCGAGTGGTGGTGATTACTTCTGTCGTCTTTGAAGCTGTCCCAGTCTGTTTTGCCTATTTTCAGTCTCTTTTTTATTGGTATCTGTATGGGGCTTGTTGGACAGTAAGTTAGTATAATTCGGCGATGGTCACTGCCTGTAAGAGGTCCCTGTATTATATGGTAATTGAAAAAAGGCTTTGTTGTTGGTAAAAATTTTGTCTGGTGTCGATTGTGTATTGTGATTCTCCAGGTTGGTGCTAGGACCCAGGATGATTGATTTTCCCTAAATTGCATTAATTGATTACGGGCGTTTCCATAATGACGTTATTATTTGTATTGTCAAAAAATCCTATGTCTGGCGTTAAAGTCTCCTAAGATGTACATCGGATGACTATTGTTAGCCAATTTTAATAGGTCTTCTATAGGTAAGTAGGGTCGTCTCGGTGGGAGATAAGTAGTAGCAATAATTACGTCTCCTTGAGTTGTATTTATTTTTATTGCTAGAAATTCATCCTGGAAGTCATCAATTAGTTTAAATTTTAAGTTTCTTTTAACCGCTATCGCTACTCCGTCATTTTTCTCGCCCGATTTATTTCTTTGGTTTACATAATAGTTAAAGAGTTTTATGTTGTTGTTTTCTGTCTCACCGTGACTGTTTATTAGTATAATGTCAGGGTCAATTTCTTGATATATATTACTTAGGTTAATTCTCTCGGTCTTCCAGTTTCTTACGTTGTGTTGTATTATTCTTAAAGTTCTTACTGTTTGTCTATTGTCCATTATTTCTTATACTTGGATTGTGGCAGTTGGAGTGGAGACCTATCATCCTGTTTCCCACTTCTGACTCTTCTAAACTCTGACGGGTCTACTATTTTAAAGTCTTTGGTCGTAATCTTTAGTTTGTCCGTAGTAATTAGTGACCAGACATAATCTTCACTTAGGGATTTTTCTTGATATGTCCACTTGTATATCCCTCCTTCACAGTTTTTTACTATTGTCCCTCCTGTTGGTCTCGATGTTGGGATTCCATGTTTTGTTGTAGTGATAACTTTTAATCCAATTTCTTCAGCAGATTCAGGTTGTATATTGTGATCAGTTTCCATCTTATCTTCTCTCCTCCTACTCCTTTGTCTTATAGTCTGTCCTTTTGTTATTTCTATCTTCTCTTTGTCACTTCTAGTCATTTGTCTGGGATCTCTATCAGTCACTTGTGTTCCTTGTGTATCAGCTGTTGCTCCTTGCT